AGAGAGAGAGAGAGAGAGAGAGAGAGAGAGAATTTTTTAATATTCATTTTTTTGGTTTTCGGTGGACATAACATCTTTATTTTATTTTTATGTGGTGCTGAGGATCGAACCCAGCGTCCCATGCATGCCAGGCGAGTGCACTACCACTTGAGCCACATCCCCAGCCCCAAGACTATGGGTATTCTTGAAAATGGACTAAATGTATTTGGCATTGGGAGATTAGCATGAGCTTTTGGGGAGTGGAATGTTATGGCTTAGATATGAAGTATCCCTCAAAAGTTCATGTGTGACAAGATGCAAGGAAGTTTAGAAGTGAAATGATTGGGTCATGAGTCTTACCCTAATAAGTGCATTAATCCCCTGATAGGGATTAGCTGGGTGGTAACTATAGGCAGGTAGGATGTGACTGAAGAAGGTGGGTCCTGGGGATTGTGTCTTTGGTGCACCTTTGTGATAAAGGGAGCCCCCCACCTTTCCTTTACTCTCCCCCACCTTCAGGGTGCCATGTCCTAAGCCTCTTTCCTCTACCACACCTTTCTGACACGATGTCCTGCACTACCTTATGCCCCAAGAAATGGAGTCAGCCATCTATAGACTTAACCTCTATAACTGTGAGCCCCCAAATAAAATTTTCCTCCTCTAATTGTTATTGTCAGGTCTTTTGGTCACAGCAGCAAACAAGCTGACTAAACCTATATCTCTTTTTTTTCCATTACTCAAAATATTTTCTTAATGGTCAAAACAATTTGAAAATGATACTTGGACAGATATATAAGATTATAAATTAAATGGATAGATAGAAATGTACACACATACATACATATGTAGATATTATAGCACATGTGGTTAGAAAAAAAAATGATTTGGAGTTCTCCATAGTGTTAGAAATAGAATTATATCTTATACATCTTTATTCATCCTTGCTATTTTTTAGTCAATCCTGGTGGACCTGTCTTTTGGGCTTATTAAGATTTGAAGTTTGGGTTTATGATTTACAGGGAAAATAGATGGAATAAGGTTTGTTATAGGCAATTCAAAAAATATATGTTAGATTTGAAAAAGCAATCTGTTTAACATCTGGTCCAGTTTTGTCTAAAGGATGAAGGCAAAGCTTTTGCAAATAGTAACAGCTCCTTTCATTTACTTTAATAGTCATTGTCCCATGTAAACACTTCTCAGTAAAGGCAAACAAGTTAAGGGTATTGTTAAATTCTTAGTTACTAACATAAACTTCTAAATACCCTCTGAATACATAGTCAAGAAGACCAAATGATAGCTTTCAGTAGTCTTGGAACTGAATCAGAAATCAAGTTATATTCTTCATTTGGATTTTTAAATTAATATTTCAAAGAAGACCTCTATCTAAACCAAAAACAGTCATAAATTACTGGCCAGGTGCCAATGCATAGGTGACACTAATAATTGTCTTGTAAATGGCTCTGAATTAGATGGCTTCTAGACCTGACAAAATACATCTTTCCTTTGATGTTTGTGTACTACTATTTGAGTAGTAATGGAAACACAAACATCCAGGAGAGAAGCTTAAAAACTCTGGTCCTTACACAGCTGAGTGGGCAGCACCTGAAACCTCAAGACATCATCTAAATCCTGACTCCCTATCCTGTTACTGCTACAAAGGCCACTCAACTTTATCTAAAACGTGCATGTAAAAAGGTATCAGACAGGAAGGACATCAACTAAAAAAAAATCTCATTTTTCCAGTCCCACTTACCTCTGCTCCTGAACCTGAGGTAGAGAGGTAAGAAGGCCACGTGTAACATTAAAGGAAGACCCTGAAGCACAACTTGAAAGCAAGTTCTTCTATTCTGTATAACTGAAAAAGAGTGGAGGAGATGGAGAATTAGGTAACTAGGATGTCGGGAAGGCACTGAAATAGACACAAATACGCAGGATTCAAGAAACTTCAATGTCCTGATGCTTTATTCATTGAGGTCTACTAAACCTATGTCAGGGCTCAGGTCTGATAGGCAGGACTATGTGTGAGGATATATCCCAGCACTAGGGATGAGGCCAAGACTGACAGTCAGCTAGGCTGAGGATAGAGCAGGGTAAGGAAGAAGAGTCTCTTCCTACCGTTCTACACAGTACAGCATGGATCAACCTGGAAATAAGACCTAGAGAGTGTGGGACTCTGGTCACCATAACATGTCTGAATGCTTAACGTTTTTCGAAGGCAATTTTGGGAAACCTGGAGTTAGCTAAAAGAGGAGAAAAGAGCCTTGGAACTCAAGAATTTTACAGTTGTAATGGCAAGGTGTAGTGCCAGAATCTTCTCTACAGCATCCCTGGTATTTAGCCATTCAATCTTTACTTGAATACCTACATTCATACTACAGTATGAGAAAGATCATTTCAAGGTTGGACAACTCTCCTTATTTTTACTACATAAAGCTAGATGTTTTAAAAAAAACTATTCATTTACTGAACCTAAAGTAAAATGACAAGATTGATCAGTTATTCTGAGAAATTTCAAAGAACAATGAATACTTGAAATGAAACAAAACCTACAAAAGACTATGGGGGTTTTTTGTTTGTTTTAACTTAGTTCATAATTTTCTATGTGATTTTTTTTCTAGGAGATATCAGTTTCTTCAGGGTTTTCTTTTTTGGTTTGTTTATTTTGTTTATCACAGATACCAGCAATCACTGCCAGGAAAGTTCCAAAAGAAAGAACTTTTTTCACATTATTCTAGAAGTAAGCTCTAGGAGGGCAAAGACTTTTATCTTTTCTCTCTTTGCTTTATTTTTAATATATCTTAGAAACTAGGCACTGAGATTAGATGTGCCTAGTATCTTAATGAGTTAGTGACTTCTCCATCACGGTAAGTATGCAAAGTAGGTCTTGCTACTGCATATCTTCTGATGAGAAAAGCATCCTTTTGCCATTACAAAAGCAAAGTGTTTGTTTGTTTGGTACAAGGAATTGAAGCCCCGGCACGGCTTTGAACTTGTGATCCTCCTACCTCAGCCTCTCCAGCCCTTGGATTTAGAGGCATGTGCTACCCTACTTGGCAGAGCAAAGTATTGACCTTTGACAGATCTAGTTTTCAATCCACATTTATAGGTTGCTTCAGTTTGAACAATTTTCCTAATAACTCTGATTATTATTTAATGTCTTCATCTGAAAGATGATGATAATAAATGGGACCTGCTTTTATAGGGATAAATTTATCTTAATAAATCAGTTAAGATATTGATGATAAATTGTTGATTACATCTTCTGGCACATGATAAATACTTATTTAAATTTGTGGAGGTCTTTATGAATTGGATAGAGGACTAGCCAAGATGCACTCTCTATTCTTTTTTTAGCCCCGTTTCCTGAATCAAGGTAAGTCTCACTCAGTAACTCTCAAAATGCACCTTATCCTTTGACTTGTGCATACCTCACTGCAGATTGAATCACCTCCCAGAGGTTTCCTGTCCATCACATCCTCCATCCAGAATAGCCTAGAACACCTTTCTCTCAGTGACAGGTGATGGCATTTGCGTGTTAACACCTGTCACTTCTGTTACTCACCTTGCATTGTCTAAAGATCTAATGTCCAGTACTATTTGAGACCATTTACAATTGTATCTCATGCTTTCTCTCAGCTCCCTGAAATTAAGGTGGCATTTTATAGCCCCTAATGAGGGGGGAAAAAGAGTGTATATTGAGGTTAATTTCACAAGAAGAACAAAAGAGGAATGGAAAAGAGACACAGAAGGGCCAAGAATTGGGTTAATTGGTTCTTACATTTTTCTTTTTCTTTGAGCAAAAGTCTAAAAATATATGGGTGCCTAAGGAAGAGAACAGATCTATTATTATTTTTCATATTCCAGGAAATGGTCCAGAAAGTGGGAGGAAATCAGCAATGACCTCTGAAGGGACCAGGAGATCTTGGTGGTCACAGCTGCCATAGCAGTGGCAGTGTCTTGACCCTGAAGAGCAATGTGAGGAGGGAGGGCAGCAGCTTAGTCTGAGACATGGCTCAAGACAAGGAGGCCCCCTTTGGCAAACACAGTAGTGGCATGCAGTAAGATGCAGATTCACACAGTTTTGTATCACCACCTCCAAACACTTTGTTATCAAGTAAAGAAGAGATGAGAGCTCTTTAATGCTCTAATCCTTCCTAAATTAAATACCTCTTTTTCTGCAACACTGAAGAGCCAACACAGGGATCATAATGATCACATATATCGGAGCAATTTTAGAAAACATATACTTTGATTCCAACAGGATATCTGAAAGAGAGAGCAGAAGTACCTGGTAAGTAAAACAGCAGGATCATGAGACCCCATTGTACATGGAAGCAGGATCCACCTGCACGTAAGATCCCTATTACCCTCGATGTTATATACTCTGGGTTTAGGTGAGGGCTATTGGCCAATGAAGCTGGACCTGGGGAAAGAACAGGACTTGGCAGTTATTGGGCCAAGGATGAAACAGGATTGGATAGAGGGATAACTTACTGTTTTGGTTCTTATATTCTAGTGGGTAATCTTTGAGATGGAGGAAATTCTAGAACAGGATTCTGGGATCTGAGGAAGCCATTGCCTATAGAACTGGATCAGAAGTGTCACTGGTAAAACTCAAAGAAGCTTCATAAAAATATAAGAGTTCTAAAATAATAAAGAATCAAAATTGAGAAAGTCTTCTGACATTCTGTATTAAATTCTTTATAGGTACTTCCTGTAGGACCAATATGATAGAAAAATTCTCCCAAGATGAGGATGCCTAATATTGTACTCAAAACATTGGAAAAAATCAGTAAGAGTGAATTGCTTAGTGGTGACATTGCAAGTAACTACTCAAATTCCTCAAAGTCCAGAAAATAGGGAGAGCAAAGAGTTAACATTTGGCTCATTCTTATATACCAATCACTAGAGGAATTTAAAGAGACATATATAAAATGTTATTAAAAGAGATGTTTTCCCAAGGAATGAAGAAGGTAAGATTGAAAGCAAATGAACCAACCAACCAACCACAGAATCATACAATTAATACCTCTGTCTGGTAGATGTTTTCAGATACAAAACTCAAAATAACTATTGCAGTATATTTAAATTAATAAATAGTTTGAGGCACACCAGAATAACTTAATAAAATAGCACCAAATTATAGGAACTTGAGGATTACATGGATTCTAGAAACAACGGGGGGAGGGGGGGAACAAGTAAAACATAGCTTCATTGTCAAGAGTCTCCCCTAAGGGCTGGGTCTGTGGCTCAGTGATAGAGCACATGTGAGGCCCTGGGTTCAATCCTCAGTACTACATAAAAATAAATAAAATAAAGGTATTGTGTACAACTAAAGAATGAATTTTTTTTAAAAAAAAAAAGAGTCTCCCTTAACTTATCTATCACCATGACTGAACTTGCTTTTTCATTTTATGAAAGGCTTTGATTCAAATTTTGAAAAATCAATCATCATGGAGTTCAGACTCTACCTTCACATTTGAGCTTCAACAACATTGATTGTTCTTGTCCAGTTTCAGATGCTTAAGTGACTCCGAATAGAAATAGGAAAGGAAAACAGAAGTTAAAGTCCCAATGAAGGAGAGCAGAATATTGAAATCATGATTTAATTAAGGAGAACATTTTGGATCACAAATTATCCCTCACAAAACCCCATCTATAGCGGGGTTTTAATGAACAGGATAAAGGGCTTAGAAGATTTGTTTCATCATCTTCTTCATTGTTCCTCCTTGACTGAGCGGGGAAAAGGATAATTTCATAATTCCCTGATACTGAGCCTTTATAAACTGGATCTGGTTAACAGTTACCTTCTCTTTGTGGCATTCTAACAATAGAGCTAAAATTGATCTGAGCTCATCTCCCAGGACCACCTGGTAGACACTGATGGGGTCTTTCTCAAGGAACAGTCCCCATTTTCCTCTTTGGTAATAGTATCCCTTAAGAAATGAAACTAAAACAATTCCTGTATCTGAGTCAAGCAATACTGAGACCTAATAATTTCTTGTTCTTGTTGGAAGCAGTTTGGATATTAGTCCTACTTTCCTAACCTTATATTAAACAATTGAAAATGAGCGATTATAACTTGGCTACTGGCTCCAGGAAACACTTGTTCCTGGGAGGTAACATTGTGAATCAACCTGAGTAGCCTCCTCAACAAGATTAACAACTGGCTCATCAAGACACTTTAGGACTTTTATCTGTGCTCACCAGTCCAAAGCTATCTAATCACTATCCCACCTTGCAAGACCTATCTTTAAACTATCTAAAATTCTATAAATCCCCTCTCCTAATATCCCCATTTGAGGATATGATTAAAACTCTGCCCAGATAATATCTTCCCTTATAGCATTATTTCTTATAAACCTATCTGTGCTTAATAAACAGGTTTTCTAGTTTTTTTAAGGGGTTCATGACCCATACTCTGAAATATTTATTAGGTATATGGTCACTAAGCGAAAGACTCTATACAACAGCCTACCTGAAAGTTGGCAGTAGAAATTAATTTGGGCCATTAGAAGAGAAATAGGGTGATATATGCAACCTCTAGATATAAAAAGAAATTTGTGTACTGTTTTCTCACTCCCAAGAATTAGAATGAGGTTATAACAATGAAAGCCAATTTAACCACACAAATGAGGACTAAAGCCCCAGGATGGTTCAGTGATAATGAGTTTGGGAATTGCTTCAAGGAGTAGAGCCACATTCACTGTGAGCTATCGACAGTCCATTGTCTGAACTGGTGGGGACGAGTCCTCTTTTATAGCAGTTGAGCTGCTGGGCCCTTTCCTTCCTTCTACATCTTATCCTTTCCATCCACCTTGGGTCCCCTAGCTACTGCACCTAGTCACTGAAGCACAAAGGGCACAATTTTATGATGCTTTTTTCTAACCTGACTCATCACACCCATCGCTTCCCAGAAAAAAAGCCTTGAATCATGGGTGAGAATCTGGGATCTAATCCTGGGTTTGTCACTTGCTTAATGGATCTATAGTAACTGACTTCTCTACACGCCTGCTTCTTCAGAAAGTAGCAATGAAGTCAACTTGTGCAATGTATACTTTTTAACTTAGTCTTACTTAAGCATACTGATTTATATTTCATAAAACCATTTCACTCACAATGTTTGATTTTAAGCTCAAAATACCACACATGTTATTTTTTTTTCCAAATTAGAAATATCAATGGTCATAGAACTGTTCAATCCTTAACATGCCACAAAAAAATAAGAGCTCTTTCTCTAATCATGTCAATACCTTGTACTTTTATTAGTATTCCCTTCAATGTCTGGTATTTTCCTTGTTCCTAGCAATTTAATTTGATTTAAATAGTACAGGTCTGCAGAAGCTCATAGTTTATCAAGCAGTTTAACATTTATTATTTCACTCAATTTCCTTCTTATTTTGACACATTGATTAAAACAGCTCTCTTCCTTTATAAAACCCCACCACAAGCACTCACCTGATATGACAATACCTGCTCTTTTCTCCTGGCCAGTGGCTGGGTTGTAAAAGCAGCAAGTGACGGGACCATGGGTGCTGTTTTTGAGAAGAACACTCATCTTCAGGTGTAATAATCCAGTTCCATCCTGAGAGTAATATTTTGATGAGTGTGGAATTGTATTTCCACTGCTGTCTCTCCACGTCATCTCAGCTTGTGGGAACCACCCTCCTGAGTCACATTCCACCAGCAGCCCCTCTGTGTCAGAAACCTGAACACTAATCTGTATGTCTGTGCCTATAGCTGGGGAGAAGAGAGAGAAGTGAAACTACAATTAGCAGTGTGGACTCAAGAATTGAGAAGTCAATGGGCCTTCTTAGGTTTGCCATAAGTTTCATGAAGGTAGCCACAAGTAGGAAAAGGATGATAGTCCAAACCAAATCTAAGCAGCAGGACACAAACCATATGAACAATAAGAAAAAAAAGACTGGTAAATTAGACTTTACAAAATTTATTAAATTTCTGTTCATCCAAAGACAATATGCAAGCAGTTAAAAAGAAAGCAACCATTAGAAGATGACATTTCTAATACATCTGAGAAAGGAATTGTGTCCAAAATATATGAAACATGTCATTAATCAATAAGACAGACAAACTTAATTTTTACAGTAGACAAAAGATTATATGAGGCATTTGATTTTAAAAGCTATCCAGATGAACGACAAGTACCTTCAGATACGCTCAACATCCCGAGGCATCAGCAAATACAAAGAAAACCTTGGAGACATATCACTTCACCGCCACTGGAATGTTCAGAAGGAACAGAACTGGGACTGACATTACCACGAATTGGAAGCCATAAATTAACTAAAGTTCCCATGTGTGGCTGGCTCCAGGACACAAATTACAAACCATCATTGATAAACTGTAAATTTGATTTTATCAGATTATATCTTTCACCATAAAAAATGTTTGTAAAACATATCAATAGACTAAAAATTATTGCATCATGTAAAAAAACAGAAATTTGATATCTGGATTAAAATTAATTCCCATAAATCAAGAAAAGAATCAAAGAACTCAATAGTAGCATTGATCAAGATAATAAACAAGAAACAGACAAAATCTAGTCTCCAGCAAATAAGAAAGAAACAAGCAAAAGTTTTCTATTGAGAAAAGTCAAAGCTAAAAATCAAACTTGCAAAATTAAAAGCATAATACAAGTATCCATAATGATATAGTGCTTTCATGTCTTGAGTCCAGTACAAATGGACCTAATTATTTCAGTGAGCAATTTGTGAAACTAATTTGAAGATAATTATGCACAAAAACCTAGCAATTTAACTCCTAGTTCTACATTCTAAAGGAACTCTCACACCCAACATAACAGCATAGCATAGGAAAGAAACTTCTCTGCATGCATATGTCCACAAATGTTGTAATACAGAAGTCAATGGTTATATACTTACCTGGGAAATACAATACTGCAGATAAAGAGTAAGCTGCATCTACTTGGATAAACCTGGACTGATATCAATAATAACACACTAAGTACAATTAGATTAGTTAGAATATTTATAATGACACTGTTGTGTAAGATTTTTAAACACAAAAAATAATATCTATTTTTATTGATGCTTATACATAAACCAGATGCAAAGATACATAATGTGAGTTTAATGGTTATTCTTGAAAAGGAAGAAAGTGAATGGCACTATTGAAGAATACAACAGTGACTTTAACTTGATCAGAAGGAAAATATAATATAAAAATATAATGTAATATATTATATGTATAATATAATTGACGGTATCTCAGTTATTCTGTTATTCACCATAACTTTTCTATAAATTCTACTATTTGGCTATATTATTGTCATAAATATTTTTAAATGCCCCAAGATCATTTTCTCATGATCTCCCATGCATGAATTTGGAGTTGTGGACCCAGAATGGCATTAGCAAGGAAACCTGGAGATGAGGTTTCTCTAGTCTTACCTGCCACCCTCAAATCCACAGTGGCCTCTTCATAGGTGTCACCATCCCTAAAGAAACAGTGGTACAGCCCTCCATCAAAAATACTGATATTGTAGATTCTAAGGGATATTTTGCCCTCTTCTAGGGCGTCTTTCAGGAATAACATGGGATTCGCAGAGTTCTGCGTGCTTTCTCCAGAGCGCTCTTCCTCATTCGCGGGCAGGTAAACCAGCCGAGAGGACTGATTGCGAAACCAGCCCACCTCCATGTGCCGTGCATTCTGGGGTGGCCACAGCTGGCAGCTGAACTCTGTCTGTGCGCCCACCGTGACCACCCTGTGGCTCGCGGAGCTGCGCACGGTGAACTGCTCTGTGGAGGAAGTGCAACGCCAAGCATTTAGTCTGAAAGCTGCAACAGAATGCACCACCTCATCCCCTTCACTTCTGCATCTGCACTCTGACCGCCCTGGTCTTCCCTTGGGCTCTCCCATAGCTGCCTCCTTCTCATCTCTCAGGTCCTGGCTTCAGCGTTAGCTCCTTAGAGGAAGGTCTCATGACCACCCACTCAATGACAGACACATTTTCTTTTTCAACAGTGGGGACTGACCCCAGGGCCTTGTAAATACATGGGTAAGCACTCTACAGCTGAGTCACATCCCAGCCCACTGCTCGTCTTTATAGCACATGTCACTTTGTGATGTTCTCTTTTTAATTCCTTTTCTTATTTTTTTCTCATGTCCATTAATCCATCAGTCATGACACATATCACTCCATTTTATTTCTTTGTATTTTCTTGGTGCATAAAACATTACCTAAACATATTAGGCATTTTATAAATTTTTTTTAAATGAATAAAAGATGCTCCCACTGGCAGGAAGTGGGATGTGGACCTCAGCTGTTGAACAGCAACCTTTACTTTTTTTTTTTAATTCGTTCTTTTTTAGTTAAACATGACAGTAGAATGTATTTTGATATATCATATATACATAGAGTATAATTTAGCAACTTTAACTTTTAAAATACACTGGCTACTTTTTCCTGTATCAGTTTTGGATTGAAAGGGGCCACAAATTTTGCTGCTCCCTCCTTGGAGGCCAAGTGCCCCTATTCCTTCCTCTTGGAGCTGTGTGTTCTGTAATTTATGTACCTCATAGAATATAGTACAATAGAGACTGCAGTAGTTTCTGATCCCATCTCAAAATATGAGCAGCTCTCAGTCTTTCCTTTTGTAAAAAATTTTCTGAAAACCCAGAGCAGCTAGATACAAAGTCTGACAGTCCTGAGGTTACTATGGCGTAAAGGCCACATGTAGATTTGTTAGTTGAACATTTCAGGTGAACCCAGCCTTCCAGCCTACTTCACCAAAATGCCAGACATGTGAGAAAAGCCACCTTGGGTCCTTCAGATCACCCTTCCCACCAGTTGAATACAGAAAGTGACCTCACTTTATATCACATGCAGCAGAAAAATTACCCAGCTGGGCAGTGACAAGATTCCTGACCCATAAAACTGTGGGTTTAAATCATTAATTTCGGGGATAACTTACTATGAAGTTACAAATAATAATCACCCTTTTTCTGGGGGATCCAATCAACTTATAATTCATATGGTCATATAAATTATTGTGGTGGGTCCTCAGATAAAAGAGGTAAATTCATTGTAATTTACCAATGTGAATTTGAGCTCCCCATTGGGAGATGTTAGACATTTATCTGTCTTTTCTCCTGGGATTATCATTTGTGGCATATAATCGTGGCTGAGAAAAGACACAGCAATTGAAAGAACATTTATTATTCACACTCATTTCCATCCTCAAAATTTTAACTGATTGGGGCTGGGGTTGTGGCTCAGTGGTAGAGCACTTGCCTAGCCTGTGTGAAGCACTGGATTTGATTCTCAGCACCACATACAAATAAATAAATATAAAGGTCCATTGACAACTTAAAAAAATTATAACTGATGGGTAAAATCTGCAGATTAGCAGTAAGAAAGCTCAATCATTTCCTTCAGTATCATTTATTACCATTATCTTTTCTTCATAGATGAGATGAAATCTTGAAAAATAAATAGATTTCCCTACCTGAGGTGAGTATTTCCATCTGTGAGAGAAGAACAGCCATGAAGTACCCAGAAAAAGAGGAAGTTGCAGGCGCCATCATACCTGGAAAAATGAAATAGTCACTGAGGGATCAGACGACAAGAACCATGCCAATATGGAAACAAATAAAAAGCAACAATTTTGAAATCCTGTGTTTTGAGAGGATTCCCTTTCATGTCAACCAATGACTTAGTCAAACCACAGATATCAGACCCCTGTGATGATCCTCCTTCCCTTTCTTTACATGGTTCAGTGCCTGCATCACATTACTGCTCTGAAGGGCAGCTGTGGATGAGGGCATAAAAGGTTTGCAGAGTAACCACACTCATGGCCCCATCTGCCTATGGCCTAAGCCACTGGCTCAGTGAAGAATCCTGGCTGCTGACTCCAGAGTGGCTTGATTTCCTATGCAAACTAATGTTTTTCTTCTCATATGGTAAAGGGCAGCTTCAGTAAGACATTCATTAACTCCAATATTGTAGGTCTGGCCTTTCTGGATCCTTGGAACTTCTGGATCCACCTACTGCTTCTGCATTCAAAGGAAATGCCATATCACAGAGGTAGAATCTAGATTCCCCAGTAGCTGCACATAGGATCTGAGTACAAAAGCTTGCGGTAAATGTCTTTAAATTAAACTTGGACAAATCAGATACAATAAATAAAATGTAGCAAGTAAATAAATGCTTTCTTGTTTCATTTCCACTGGGTGAAATGTAATAAGGAGGATGATTTCTAAAGCACGTTAGCATCTCTACTAGAGTGAAAATAAATATAGCCCATGTTCCAGAAATTCTGCTTCTGAGTATATGTTTGTTCAACAGAAATAATGTATGTGTGCACAAGATACATATATAATAAAGTTTATTATAAAATTATCTAAAATGTAATAACCAAACTGCAAATACGGAAAATGTCCTTAATGACAGGTCAAAACATACAACCTAAAATTATGTCGTCGACATTCAATAAATAATTTCATAAATATAACTGCTATGTTATTAATTATGTGATATAATCTTTCATTACTGGTTTTGTATTAACCAACTTTTCAAAATCTTTTCACAATTATCATATCTGTGTATTCTTTAGGATTTTCTGCATATTTTTCTGAATAATCCTTATTTTGTTTTTTATTAAAAAGTCAATAAAATATGAATTCCTCAGGAATAAATATAACAAAATATAAAATTTTATTAATGAAATTATGCCACTCTATTGAAAAATATTACATTAATACTTAAAATCAAAGAGAGACAAGTGTTTGTATATTACGAAAACTAGGATCATAAAGTTATCACATCTACTAAAATGTTCTATAGATTCAATGTACTTTCAGTCAAAATTCTGACTTTATGTTTTTGTTGTTTTGTTTTGTATTATGAATTGTAAAATGCTGTCTCTAAAACAGACATAGAATGGTGATAATCCAATAAGAGCCAAGATTCTTTCTCTGAAAAAAAAGACAATACGAGAAATATTGCATTAAATAATATTAAGGCTTATTATAAAACTTATATAATTAAGATATTATAATATCTGTTATATTGATGTAGATATAAAAATAGACCAATCGAATACAAAGGACCCATCAACAGATGGATGAGTAAAAAAAATGTGATATAGATATGTAATGGAATATTATTTGCTCATAAGGAAGAATAAAATTCTGTCATTTGCAACAGAAAGGATGGAACTGGAAAATAAAAGTGAAAAAAAGCCAGATTCCAATAGACAAGTACAGATTGTTCTTTCTCATATGTGAAAAATAAACAAAGTCAACATGAAAGTAGAATAGGGATTACCAGAGGTTGGGAAGGGGAAAAGGGACAGATAAAGGGAAGTTGGGTCTGATCAGTGTATGCTGGATATGTGTGTTGAAAAATCACATTAAATTATTCCATTAGTACAGACAACTCTTATGTATTTTAATCAAAAATAAAATAATTTCTAGGGCTGGAGATGTGGCTCACCTGGCATGTGCGAGGCCGGGGGTTCGATCCTCAGCACAACATAAAATAAAGATGTTGTGTCCACCAAAAACTGAAAAATAAATATTAAAAAATTCTCTTTCTCTCTCTCCCTCTCTCTCTCTCTCTCTCTTTAAAAAAAATAAATAAAATAATTTCTAAAAATAACGAGCTTAAGAATAGGGCAGGTACATGTAGAAATCTATTTCATTATAGATCAATATTGCAAATCGGTGAAGAAAATAATTACTATTCCATAAACAGTGCTGAGACAATCACTTTGGAAAATAGAGATATAGAATCTCCACACCTTACACAGAAGTGACCCAAATGATCAATGACATGAATATGAAATACAAAACTATAAAAATGTTGGACTAATATATAGTAATATTTTTATAAAATTATGAGATACACAAATTTATTAAACTATGAATAAAATAGCAAAGGAAAACGTTAAATTCAACCCCATTAAGTTTATATATTTATTTATTTTTCTTTATTGCAGTATAATTGGCAATTAAAACTTGCACACAGTGACAGTATACAATGTGATCTTTTGATATATGGGCACTGTTTTAGTCTGTTTTCAGTCAGCACTGTGATCAAATATCTGACAAGAACAATTTGGAGGAGGACAAGTTTATTTGAGGCTCATGGTTTCAGAAACTTCAATCCATAGATGGCCAACTCCATGCTCTGGGCCCAAGGTGAGGCAGCACATAATGGGGAAAGGGCCCAGCAAAAGAAAGTTGCTCATCTCAGGACAGTGTCAGGATACAGAAAGTGGGAGGGGGACTGCAGGACAAATCTTCCAGGACACACCTCCAGTGATTTACCTCCTCCACCCAGGCCCCACCTGCCTACAGTTACCACCCAGTCAGCCCATCCAAACTAAGATGGACTGATTACGTTTCAGTTCTCATAACCTAACATTTTACCTCTGAATATTCCTATAGTAACAGTAACTTTTGGGGGACAACTCATATCCAAACCATAATATTCTGCCACTGGCCCCCCAAAAAACTCATGTTTATCTCACAGTGCAAAATCCAGTCTTAACAGTTTAGCATTGCCCAAAAGTCCAAGTCCAAAGTCATCTCTAAGACTCAAGGCAAACTTTTGGTTGTGAGTCCTTATAAAAATTCAAAAGCAAGTTATATACAACCAAGATACAGTGGCTCCGAGTAAAAATTCTCAGTCTACAAAAGAGAAATAGGGACATAGAAAGAAGGGTTGAGGCCAAAACAAGACTGAAACTGGGCTGGGCAAACAGGTCCTATAATTTTGCATACAGCATCTAGGACACATGCTGGAGAGATATGCATTCCAAAAGGGTTGGGAATCCCCACCCCTTTGACCTTGCTGGTTGCAGCACACATGGACTCTTTTACGTTGGCTTTTTCTGCAGCCAACAGCTTTCCCAGCCAACAGTAAATGGCGTCTCTTAATTTCTGTGGTCTCCATTCAAGCGTTAGCATGTCCTTAACAGTTTCATGCATTGCCCTTACAGGGGCAGCCTGCAGGGACTCTGATGGTGGTACAGATTTCCTGACCTCCCACACCTGCCTTTGAAATCTTGGTGGAAGCCTTACCTCAAGTATCCTGAATTCCTGCAGAAGAAGCACCATGTGGATGCCACCAAGGTCGGCTATCAGCTTACACTGTAGCTGAGCTTCCTGGGATTTGGGCTGCACTGACCTGTGAGTACCTACATATCTTAGAGTGGTGAAACAACTTCCTAGGCCCCTTGGGCATATCCCCAGGATCTCTTCTCAAAGGAATATCCCTTGAGCCTGCAGGGGGCTTGGTTTACAAATTTCTAAGATGTCTTCAAGCCATTTTTTAATTGTTTCTGTGCAAAGTTCTTAGCATATATTTAGGGGCTATAATCTCTTCAATAAGCTTCCTTGGCCCCAGTTTTACATCCTTTTCTAGTCACACTACAAGTTTTTTAAATTCTTTAGCTCTGCTTTCTGCTCCATATTCTCACAGGAAACCTGACTAAAATCGGCCAGCAATATCCATGCCACTGATTGAATGCTGTACTACATTGAACCTTCCTTCACTAGACATTATAATGAGTCCACCACCTTTAAGTTCAGCTTCACACAAAGTCTCAAGATGTGGACATAATGCAGTCAAGTTCTTTGCCAGAATGTAACATGAGTAGTCTCTATTCCAATTCTCAATAATGTGAGTCCTCTTTCCCCTCTGAAACCTCATAAGCACAGTTCACATTCCTTTTGGAATTCTGGTCTTCTGAGAACCCACCAGAATTTCCCATTAAGCTGTCCTTCCAAAATTCTAAAGCTCTTCCAGTCTACAACACTAAAATTATCCAAATTTCTCATGCAACCCCTTTACAAAAGATTCTGAACCACATGCTCAGATGAGCCATAGCAATGACCTCACTTCTCGGTACCTATTTCTGTTTTGGTCAGCCTTTGCATCACTAGGACCAAATTACCTGACAAGAACAACTTAGAGGAGGCTTACTGTTTCACAGGTTTCAGTCCATAGATGGCCAACTCCATTGTTCAAGGACCTAAGGTGAGGCAGCACATCATGGCAGAAGAGCCAGCAGACAAAAATTTCTCATCCCATAGCAGCCAGGTAACAGAAATGGGGAGGGGCCACAGGAAGAACTACCCTTCCAAGGCATGACCCCAGTGATTCACCTCCTCCAGCCATGCCCCACCTGCCTATGGTTAACAACCAGTCAGTCTACCCAAACTTGGATGGACTGATCAGGTTTCAGCTTTCATCATACAATTATTTAGCCTTTGGATATTCTTGTATTAACAGGAGCTTTGGGGGGATACCTCATATCCCAACCATAACACACACATTGTGAAATAATTAGCAAAATCAAGTTAACTCACATAGCCTCTGACAAATACTATTCTACTTTCTACTTCTATAAATTCAACGTTTTTAGATTCCATGTAAAATGGAGATCATGCAGTGTATTTTTTCTGGGCCTGGCCTCTTTCATGTAGCATAATGTCCTCCAGGTACATCCCCGTCATCACAAATGACAGAAATTTTCTTATTTTAACAGTCAAATAATATTTCATTTGTATACATGCCACATTTCTTATCTTTTAATCTATCAGTGGATACTGGGGTTAATTCTATATACTGCGAAGAGTGTTGCAATAAATATGAGAGTATAGCTGTTCTTCAATACACCAATTTCACTTTTTTGTACAAAAATTCATTAGTGTGATTGTTGGAAATATTATAGTTTTATTTTTTTAAGGAACTTCCACACTGTTTTCCACCATGGCTGATCTAATTTACATTCTCATCTATTACATTTAATAAACTGTTAGCTATAAGCATTATAAAGAAAGTGAAATGAGTTGGGTGCAGTGGCACACCTATAATTCCAGCTACTT